TTCAGACATGTTTCATTAAATGATAAAATGCATTCGGTGTTTATACTGCTCAACAAATATCTCTCGACATATCTTACTAGACAAGGATATCCCGTAATTCAGTTTAATCAATAGGTTTTGAAAATAATTTGAGATAAGAATAACATTTTACTATTATATTTGGATCTAAAACACAATAACAAATGAGTTGTACATGTAGTGTAATTGATAATATATTAACTAATAGTGCCAGTGTCCCAAATTTAAATCACATAAACTACTACTTAAATATTATTTATACCAATACGCAAACTACTACGGGAGATTGGATAATCATTTTCTCAAATTTTAAAGGTGTCCCACTACCACTTAAACATTTTTTTCTCATACGCAAATTACTATCGTAGGTTAAATAATCGTGTTTCCAAATTTTAGGGGTGTCTCGGGACACCCCTAACCATGCATGTATCCGCCACTGGACCCTCTTGTCTCGTGGCCATGGACTTCTCCCAACACGCCCATGACCCTCTTGTCTCGCGATCATGGATTTCTCAAGACTTAGGGGTCGTTTGGAGAATATGAGTTTAAATCTATAGATTGTCAACAATCTAAAGATTCTAACTCTTCGGATTGTTGAAAATAGATTTTAAAATGGTTATTGTTTGGTAACTGTGATTGTTAACATTCAATGAAAATAAAAAAAAATTATTTTATATTAAATAACGTATTTATTCTTAATAAAAATTAGAGTGGTTCGAGAAATATTAAAAAATTTGTTGATAAATATATTTAATATGATAAATAAATAAACAAAAGAGAAAAAGTAGGAGGAAAAAAATCTCACGAATCAAGATATAGAATCTCTCTGATTATGAGAGATTTAATATCCGTAGATTTTAGAGATTTGAAATCTCTAAAGCTCAAATCCACAATACAAAAAGCAACAAAAAAACACAACTTTCTACAAAATCTACGGATTCAATGAATCTACGCCCTAAATCCCGTTCTCCAAACGACCCCTTAGTGTACTTTTGGACTCACAAACTCGTGACTATAAGGCGTGAGCATGTGGGCCGTGGCATAATCTCCATTGACGAGAAGGCCATGCCTCCGTTGACTCACGCTCGCGTGCTACTTAGCGACTTCGGCTTAAAATATCTATAACCATAGTCAGAGATCCAACTCAAGTTAAGTTAATTGTTGTAATTAATCTAATCTTGTAAAAGCATAAAGTACCTTGCAAATAATCTATGTCGTCATTAAGATCATTTTTCGTGTAAATAGTATCCAACAACTATGTTCCAATTCGGTTGTTGGTTTGGGTTCTCCGCGAAGAAAGTAGTAATTGGAGGCGAACTTTCGTCAGCCTAACCAACCCCTTCAATGTTTTGTCGATAAGATATTGAACGAAATCCTTTAGGGAAAGTGGGAAACAAACATCATTGAGACTTTCTCCTGTTAAATGCTATTTTTTCTATTTCAGCCGGCTAGTAGTACTCCCTCCTGCTCTGTCGGCAAAATTGGCATCTTGCCAAAGCCCAAAGGTCCCCAAAACGATTCCTAACAAGGTAAAGCCAACGGAAAAGAGAAAATAATGGTTTAGAGAATGTGATTTAGGGTGGATTTATTGAATTCGTAAATTTCGTTAAAAGTTATGTTTTTATTTTTGTTTTTTATTATGGATTTTAACTTTATAGATTTCAAATCTCTAAAATTTACGGATATCAAATCTCTTATAATCAGAGAGATTCTATATCTTGATTCGTGAGATTTTTTTCTCCTACCTTTTCTCTTTATTTATTTATTTATCATATTAAATATATTTATAATTTTTTTAATATTTTTCGAGCCACTATAATTTTTTAGTAAGGATAAACATGTTATTTAATAGAAAATCAGATTTTTTATTTTCATTGAATGTTAACAATCAAAGTTACCAAACAATAAACATTTTAAAATCTATTTTCAACAATCCAAAGAGTTAGAATTTTTAAATTGTTGACAATTTATAGATTTAAACTCATATTCTCTAAACGAATATGGGGAATTTTGCTTTCATAAAATTAGAAACATATATCTATATGTCACTTTTCAAGTTTCAATTTAGGAGTTCTGTTTTTATAGTCATTTTTTATCCCCATATAACATCAATGGGATTTCCTAGGTAGTTTGAAGTAAGGTAACTTGATTTTTTTAACCCGCTATAACAGGTTTCACAGGTCTCATTACGTAAAATACAATAGACATTACGTAATGGTTACGTAACGCATGGTAATCTTACGTAACAGTTGTAAAAGATCATCACGAAAGTCTTACACAATAGAATGTGCCTTTACGTAATGAGTATTAACCTCGCGTTATGTAAAATGCTAAGTCATTACGGAAGCCTTACGCAACATTACTGATTTAACTGTTACGTAAGAAATAATTGTCGTTCCGTAACCTTTATGTAATGGAAGCTCTTTTTTTTAACGTAATGAGTATTAACCTCGCGTTACGTAGAGTGCTAAGTCATTACGGAAGCCTTACGTAACGCTTCGGATTTAACTGTTACGTAAGAAATAACTATCGTTCTGTAATTTTTACGTAATGAATGTGTATTTTACGTAACAGTTGTAAAATATCATTACGTAAGAAATAACTACCGATATTACCATCATAATATAATATAGACTCATAGTATAATTGTTCCAAATTATATAAAATGACATATTATTTTGAAGAACACCGTTAATACACTTTTGGGTACTTTTTTACATTTCAAATTTCCTGCAACGAGAGTGAAAGTAGAAAGGACATTTTTGTCTTTACAATTAATTATTTATCTCACATAAAAAATATCAACATCAAGATTTGAACCCGGGTCTCTTCAAACAAAGACAACAATCACAACCATTTATGCTGAACAAATTTGTTGTGTCTTTTTGAATACAAAATATACACGAAATTCAACTCTCTGAAAATCACAGGACTTTCCATCATGATTAGCAAGTCCACTAAGTATACCGTATGTATTTTTATGGTGCTTGATACTTCAATTTTCATAGTAGAGTTTCATGTAATTTTCTCAATTTTAAAATTCTTTCTCTCTCCTTAATTTTTGCTAAAGGTAAATTGGCAATTGGCTAACATGGAAAAAACTAATTTTGTCACTTCGTGTTGCGTACTTGCATTTTTCAATTTAAATTTGTGGTTTTATCTTTGTTCTTATCTCTTTTTAACTTCCTCGGAAATTCCCTCCAACGTACAATAGTTTGCGCCCCTTTCACTTCCCAATACAAGACCGCCTTTGAAAATCAATCATCTGATATCTCTTGGCACGTCAGTTTTATTGTTGCGGATTTAAGTTGGAAAAGTAAAAGAGTTTAATAAATAATGGAGTTGCAGAAGGAGGATTAGAAATTGAATTTTTGGTTGAAAATATGTCTCTTGAGATAATAAAAAATTTTGGCTGTGCAAGGAAGAGTGGTGGCTATTGGATCTTATGTTTATGGTTTTTACATCTATCACAACATATTTTTATCTTAAAAGGAGGAATCATTGATTGATTTATTGAAGTAGGTCGATTCTTTATTCAACCTACTGGAACTGATAGACAAGGAGTGTCTAATTTTGTGTCTTATTACTTTGATTGAGTCTATTAGTGTGTTGGAGATAACCCTAATTTTGTCGTTTTCTCTCAAGTTTTGATGGTCCCCTCTTAGCTTAGTTGTTAGTATATAGTTGACTTGAATCAACAACTCTCTATTTCTTTTTTATTAGTGGCATATTGTTCATAGAAGGAGCGCATTAAACCCTTATGTAGGATTGTGAGATTTAAGATTTAGTTTCAAACTATTTATGGGTCGTGTGGAATTTCACTGATCTTTTATACCCTCTTTCTTGAAAGCCAACTAACCAATAACATTTTAACGAGGGCTTAATTAACATTATAAAAATGGAATTAATGATACATTTTATATTTTAATATTCTTAAATGATGATAGTATTTCTCCGAATGTTAGACCTATATATTCTTTCTTTATGTATGATCTCGATCGAAGGATTGTCAATAAAATTAAACCGGTTGATTGGCTTAAATGTAACATAAAAATATAAATAATCAAATATGAACATTCTGGCTAATGAGCCGGGTTATAAGCTAGTATAATTTGAATTCCAACTTAACATGAAAAGTACATAATCCGTTAAATAAAATTTGGCAAAGATGAGTAATTGATGATCAATAACCAATCAGTTACTCGACTAGATCCGCATTGGACGGTAGGTCCGGCAAGACACCTGACACAAGAGCCGACCCCACCAATTAATTGTTTATTAGTTTAATTCCACCTGCTGCTTTTCTCATCCTAAACTTGATTAATAAGGATAATACGTGCCATTATTAATTAATTCGTATTATCATTATGAAATATTAATAATTGGACCGGGCCCCCAAAAGTAGAAGATAAGGGGAAAAGAGAAGGGGGCCCAGAATTCCAAACTAGGGTTTTGGTGACTTTAAAAATCCGTCGTACATTTTCGAATTTAGGGCACTTGGGAAAAGGCATTGTGTCCTAAGTCCTAACCGAGAAACAGGTCCTTGCTCTTCTGACATCCTAGCTAGTTCATGGGTTCCTTCATTTTCTATTTTCCTTTTTAAATAATTAGCTTAGTTGCTAATTACTTTAGTTTTTGTAAGTCAATAATTAGTTGAGCTAAATCCACATTTGTAAGTCAATAATTATTTAGAGATGCTCACATGTTAATCATGTTATAGTTAGGTGCTACATAAGCAATTCGAACGTTGGACCTCTAATTTCAAGATCAGTGATAGTACCAATAAACCAAGTTCTTATTCGCGTTAGTGGGATGTTCATGCCAATTTCATGCCAGTTCACATGAGCCCCACGAAGTTCATACAAACCAAATAATGAATTCTCGCAACTACACCTTGGGAGTACATAGAATATTTCAAACACCTTTATATATATATATATATAAATGTACTTGCCAAAACTACCCTTTAACGTAACGGGCTATCATACTCGAGCTGTTTATGCCCAAACAACTCCAAACTATGATCACTTCCAACTTTTCTAAAAGTCCATACCATTTACATCCACCAAGCTACTCAATTCACAGGGAAAGGAAACAATGGAGAAAGGGTTGGAAAAAGAACAAAGGGAGGGAGTGGAATTTTGGTGCCTTTCTAGGGAAGCTTCATCTTCTTCTTCTCAGCAGCTTTGAGAGCACATGGCCCTCTGTAGAAAACTGATAAAGAAGCCAAGAAAGGTGAAAGGGAAGGAGCAACTAGCAACTGCTCTTCATATAAAAGCTTGAATGGCCTCAATGGGCCCATTCCAATGTTGAATGGGCTTGGGCTCTTTGGCCAAGTTGGGCTAGATCCAGAAGCTGCAACTGATCTCCCAATTTGAGTTACATCTCTCACCAGATTCTTACTTACTTTGCTCATAAACAAGCAATGTAACAAACATGATAAGAAAACAACAAAAGAGAATCAAAAGGGCTACACATACATAACCCTAAAACAAAGAAACCCTACCACAGTGCTGCTGCTGCTGCTGACTGAGATGAGACTGACCACCTTCGACCATCACACTGATAACTTGCAACACAAGCCAACTCTTTACACTAGTCATCCTTCCGGCAAATTGCTGCCCGAGGCTAAAACCAAAAAAAAAAAAAAAAAAAAAAAACAAAGAAGAAAGGCCATCTTCACTCTGGCGATCTCAAACACCCGCCGGGAAGAAGAAACCTGAACCTCTCAGCATTCTCTATCAAAAACCCAGGAAGATGAACCCCAGAAGCAGAATGCGGAATCGAACCCATCTTCTTAATCAGCTCCTTGAATGTGTACTCTTCCGGCAGCATATCAAACAAGTCATCCCCTTTACATATCAGCTTCTGAATCCTGTCATGGTTCAGAAAATCTGGTTTCCTAACCCGGTCAGCATGGCTGTAAGCCGTCATCTTGAACACAAACTCCTCCAGCCTCCTGAAACAGAAGCTGCAGTGCCATCCAGCATCCGAGAGAATGACATCCGATTGCCTCGAGTGCCTGTACCTCGTCCATGGCCCGTAAATCTGGACACTTGACCTCCAATGACTATAATCCACAGGGAACTCGAACGAGTATAGATAATTTCTCAGCTCGAGATGTAGAATAGGAGGCATACCATCGCACCATTGCAGCAATTTCACAGTATGAGGGCTGGGGATCTCGTCGGTATCCGACATTATCACCAAATCTCCATTCACCACCCCTGCACTCCGTAGCAACCCATTCATGTAGGCCCGCTGCTCTGACTCGAGCACAAATGGGTCCTCCTGCGAACCGGGTTCAGCAGTGCGACCAGAGAACACGCCGTGGACGATCTTATCCCCAGCAAACTCGAACCTGTCCCGGTTCGACAAGAAGAAGAGCGGCTTAGGTCGGCCTGTGAATGTGGTGTTCGACTCGAGGACGACGAATTTGGTGACGAGAGATTGGAGCTCGCGGTATCGGATCTCGAGGAGGTCGAGCTCGTTGTTGAAGATGACGCCGTCGAAGACCCTGCGCGGTGTAGACCGAATGGTCCAACCATGGAGGGTGCAGAGGTGGTCCATGGGGACATTCTCAGCGTAGTAGTGAGGGATTCTTTGGAAGGGTGGAGGCGGCTTGTCCCAGAGCGGCCGGAATAGGTAGGTTATCGTCTGGAAATGAGTGATGATGGTGATCACAGAGATTGGCAGGAGTATCAAGAAGATCATGAACACGAGCTTCCGCGGCAATAATCTTCTTGTGGTTGTCCGAGTGGAGGGTCGAGGTGCCATGGTTTGAAGGCGAAGGTGGAGTCAATAACATGTTAAGTCCCACAATCGGGCTGACCTGAAAATAGTGCCCCCACCCACCAAATGTTTTCCACACCTGTAGAAGACACAAAGCCAGTTAAAGACCAACGTAAGCATCAAGAAGGCGACGCACAAGAAGATTTTTGGACCACTTGAGGGGTCGGCGTCAATGAAAATGATGGACTAAATTCTGCCTTAACTGCAGAAAAGAACAGCAGAAGGCACAAAGGAAATTGTACAAAACTGTGAAGATTAGCAAGAGGAAGCCAAGGTGCAGCATATCAGTTTCATAAACATAGTCCTTAACCCACGATTAGCAAGAAGCAAAGCTTAAATATATTATCAAGAAGTTAGAGGACTGAATATCTGATGAATGCCAGGAAGCTGCCAAAGCCTATTTGGGAAACAACAGAAAACCCTCCATTTCTGGAATAAAACAAGAACCAGAAACCATAGATTTTAGATCGAGCAGAAGCAATAGAGAGAGGTCGAAATCCGCCACTTCGTTGTATTCATCACTATTTAACAGAGAATGAATGCTCAAAAACAAATCAAAGGGCATTTTTAATTCGGTATAAACTAGTACTTAGTTGACCAAGAACAAAAGAACCAGGGAAATTGACAGCCCCAGAACATATAATATTCCCAGACCCTACCTAATCCCTTCATACGGAAGGCACCTGAAAATTGCATCAGAAGACCACCTAGCAAATATATAAGACCAAACAACATTCTATCTTCCTGCCATGGTCTCCACTCCACACAAACTATAAACGGAAGGGCAAAATCTAAGATTCTTGAACATGCTAAAACCCTAACAAAATCTCCAAACCATATTTATACGGAAAGAACCCACAAAATTTTCATAAAAACCAAACATAAAATCAGGAAAAAAAATCAAAACTCAGATTACACAGAGAATCCAAGCTGAACGCCACATGTTAAACAGCTGAATGCTGTGTTTTGCTAAATAAAAAAAAAGCAATCTTTCTCAAAGCTCTTCGCACAAAGAACATTTCCGGTGAGAACCCAGATAAACCCCCACCCCATTCGATTCAATTCTGCAGAAAACCCTTTCAATCGGTAGCGACAACAAAGCCAAAAAGGAACGCCATACACCCAGAAAGTAGGCATTCATTCGACCATCATTGAAAAGGGGATCACAAGCCCGTTGGCATTACAGCAACGGCGAACACGGATTGGTCGAAAGAATAGTCAAAACGATAAACGGCGAAGCGAATTGAGATTCGAAGGTTTACCCAGAATGCAGAAACCCAGAAGCGGCCGCAGGATATGAAAAGCCAAGGGAAATAGTAAAGGATAACAATCGAAGAAGGAAACGGGGAGGGGGAAAAGAGAGGAAAAAAAGAAACTCCCGCCAATTGGATTTCAGAGTTCATATAATTTTCCGATCAAACGATTCCTTCCCCCCATTTTTTCTGCCCGTCGGCGGGGGATCTATGGACTATGAAAAGTACTTGGTTCCAGAGTGGGGAAAATATAGGAAAGAGATAATCACTGGATTTTTTTTTTTGGTTGGGATTTTTTTTTTGGGTTGTGTAGCGCGGCGAAGGAAGGAAGGAATGTGTGTTGGAGGAGTAAAGATCCGGTACGGGCATGTGGCGATTGGTTTCATTCATTCATTCACTAACCGCCACAAAATGAGAGGTGTAATTTAGTTTCTTTCTCTAACCGTTTTTCTCCCATTTAATATTTTCCCCCCTCTTCATAGGAACGTCTATAAATAATTTTTTTCTCTTTTTCGTAGTGATCGGTTCAGTTTCTTGATATTGTCTTTCGGTAACATCAACTCTAAATTCAGGATTAGCGTTAGGACGATCTTAGAAAAATGATACGTAAAATTCTTTCGTTGTTTTGCGTTAAAGTATTGATGATTTAGTGGGAGCTTGTAAAATTTCTTTGTTGGGGGTATATCTTTAGGGAGACAAAAGTTATATCTATTGTAGAGTTTCTAAGTACTAGTGGTTCTTGTATCAAGTAGTTTGCTATGTATGCCAAGTGGTCAAAGTATTGAATTCATCGGAATGAGGTTTTAGGTCTGATTTGTCGTCCGTCCAAACTCCCAACTTACATTCAAAACATCCATTCGACATCAATTTTAAACTTCTCTCGTTGAAAAAAAGGACATCTCAAATTTTTTTTTTGTTTTGGTTTAATTCGTTTACTATGTTGATTGAAAAAGAGAGTAATATGTTTGAATCGCACAATTCAACAATTACAACTTTTAGATGAATGTGGCATCAGACCAAATCGATATCTTCCCTTATCAATTCTTACATCCTTCCAATTTTCTTGTAATTACGACACTACTTTTTTCATTATTTTTTATGGGCGTCTCAACATAACAGCGGAAGAAAAAGAAAGTTACGTATTATAGACCTCCAGACTCAGAATCCAACGGCAGAACCTCTCGACCAAACCAACATTGTGATCATATGCCACTAATTTTGAAACAAAACTATTCACACACAAAAAAAAAAAAAAAACACAACTTTGTGAAGTTCTAATGGATCATCAAACAATTTCCTTGGATTCCACCGGTTTTAAGGTCCCATAGACGGCCTGCCCCTTTGATTAAGATGCTTGACAAACCATGCAATTTAAACGTTGATAACTTCTTTAAAACTGGTTTAGTATAATACAATACAGTGCCACCAAAACTCAGTCCTCTCTTCTCGAGGACTTCACCCCTCTGTCTCGAAATTGATAGTTCCTATGGATTCTTTATATAAAATCCTTTTTTCCGAGCCGAATATGCTTGAAAATAAACACTACGAGGGGTGGGAATTCGTTTGCAGTTTTGCGGTTAAACCGCTAATCGCACCAAAATCGCGCGGTTAGAGATTAATCGCAAACCGAAAAAATAGAGTATTTTGCGGTCGCGGTTGGCTATATTGCATGTTTTGCGGTTTGCGGATTAACCGCAACCGAACAACAAGTAACCGCATTTTAACAGATTACTAACTCGGTTACCTACGATTAACCGCGGTTAGTGCGGTTAACCGTGACATAGTGGCACAACCATAGACCAAAATGTCCTTAAATCATAAGAATGATTAGTAACACGGTTAACCGCGACTAACCGGTAACCGCACTTTACGGTTAGTGGTTAACTGCAGAACCGTGTGCGGTGCGATCGCGGTTGGCGTAAATGGGTACATTTCGGTTACGGTTCGGTGAGATTAACCGCAACCGCACCGATTCCCAGCTCTTACGAAAGAGCAGGCTTGATGCCGTTTGGTAGTAGTGCTAGGATTGGCAGTGTGGGCTTTTATCGAGTCTTGTGAGATGGGCTTCAGGCCTGGTCAGTATGGGTTGGTCCTTGACATTTTGTGGCTGGCTTCCTTTGCACTTTCATTTCCTAACCCACCCAGTTTGAGTTCTCCTCTGCACTTCATTTCCTTGTTCCTAGTGAGGATCACTTCTTTATCTTCATTCCAAATTTGACTCGTTTAATATTCTGTCTTTGTTTGAGGGGAAGTGTTGCGATTATTTTACGTTACTTGGTTGATAAGTAAATGTGTATTTTGAGTAGCCCTTGTCCTAGTTTCTTTTGAATTTTTTCGTGTCTTGTCCTAGGTGGATATGGATACTCGAATGTGTCATTACGTTTTCACCGATATCGTTCTTTGTATAAGGCTTAGTTATTGTGTTTGTCGCAAGCAAACAAATATCAAAATTGAATAATAAAATTGTCAGCCATGAACTCTTTCGAACTCACCCTGAATTAGTTTCATTCATTCCAAACGAAGGTACCGTATAAAATTGTGTATCTTGTGTTCTTCGATTTTCCGTTTTAATCGAATTCTTCACATCCAGCCAAATTAACAGAGTTGTAATGCTACAGATGGAGACTAAAAATGAGAACAAACACATATTCTTTTCTATAAAGGTGATGGAGTTTTATTAAAAACAAAACCAACCGGAGAAGACAAGCAACAAAATAAGCCAACCACCGATCACAAAGACTGAACGGCGGCCGAGTACAAGAAAGGAAGGAAGGACAACAAACATAGGAAGAAACAGAGACCATCCATATAAGGACAACACACATAGAATGCAGAGGAAGTACAAGAAAACAGAACAATAAATTTAGAAAGCAAACAACTGCGAGTAGCCATCAACTGTTCCTCCTGAGCAAAAATCAAACGTCCAAAACCATAGGAGTGACGAGAAGAGCAGTCATCATATCCTTGGTGACGGTCTCGGAGAAGGTATAGCTATCGAAATCCTTGTACAGAACTTCCATCACCTTCGCGAGCCCCACGAGCATCGACATAACCTCGTTCGAGATGAAACCAGGCTGGTTGAAGGTTTCTCTGTTGATTTCTTTCCAGTCATGCTCCACAATTTTGTTCAATGCAACAACTGCTTCGTCTCTTGGCACATCGTATTGCTTCATGTAACACTCAACCACCGAAGCGACGTGGCCTCTTTTCTGTTCGAACTATAAAACAAAAAAGATTATAAATCACTCGTCGATGTGCATTTATTTTTATATAAGCTAAAAAATTACATATACATACCTCGTGAGATACGATGTCATCCATAATACGACAATGATCAGAGATGGCGACGAGAATCTTCGGTTCCGAGAACAACCAATCGAACGCCTCCTTTGGTGCCTTCCCACCCATACCGCAGAGAGCTGAGCATGCTAAAGAAGGGTAAGCACAAGAATACACACCTACCCTCCTGTATTCCTCTACTGTTGGCACTTTCCCTTCAGCAAACCATCTTGCTTCGGCTAGGTATGCTCTCACTTGATTCTTGTGCTGTAACAAAATCGACGAATAAATGAGTTCAACACCTTAACCAACGATCGTGCGATCGAGAATTCACATGTTTTCAGTTGTTTACCGCTTCCTTTGCGTATTCGAGACAGTAGGGTCTTCCTTCTTTGGTCGTGATTGCGTCTACTTCATCCAATACATCGATAATGGCATCGTAACATGTCCTCATGTAGTCAGGAAGATCCTTCATGCTGGTGTCCCATCTGTTAATTAATCAGTCACAATCCAAATCACAAGACTGAAGACATATATGAGTAGTCTATGTAGAAGATGACCGATTGAGAAAAATGTACATATGTTACTATACCTTTCGATAGCAGAGGTGAATAACTCGAGTTCGTCGATCGTACCGTGCACATCGTACATGTCGTCGATCACCGACACGAGCATGGTGAGCTTGGTTACAATGTATCTAGAGAGGGTGAACTTGGGTTCCCACATGGCTCCCACGGCCCAGAAGTAGATCTCGATCAGCCTGTCTCGAGCAAAAGGTAGTTTCGTGACAAAGTCCAAGTCGATCCACCACCTGATTGATCAGCCAGTTAAATTAGGGTTTCACATCCACAAATCAGAATCGTCGATTATTACTGAAGGATATATATGTGTAGCTAGGAGACAATAATAATCATACTTGGTGAGGGATCTAAGCTCTTGTTGGTATAAGTGTTGCAGATGATTCCAACTCAACTTGGCAAGCTTGAGTAGGGTTTGATTGTGGCCTTTCTCTTGCTCGTATGCCCAGATGAAGAAGAGCTGTTCGTGCTTTTCGACGCCTTTACGCAAGGGCCTTTTCAACATATGAGCAATCCTTTTGGACAGCAAATCATCATACTGATCATCACCACCATCTGCCATGGTGTACTTGGTAAGGTGACCTTCTGCGAATTCCATGGCTTCTTCCAATATCGTCTCTCCAGGCATCTGGAGATACGCAGCTTCGTACAAGCTCATCATACCTTGCACGTTGTTCCCCAGTTTTTTGTCGAACCTTCCTTCTTCGTCCTTGAATCGGTTGAATATGTCTGCATATTATTATTATATTATGCATGGAACATTGTTAGCTAACCGAATGCAAAAGAAAATTAAAGGAATGACATTTAAAATTCATATAACATCTTCTCAACGACTCGAGTTGTTATAAAACTAAGTGATTTGTTCGTTAGTTAACATGTTATCAAAAATGTTAGACCGAGATGTCACGATTCTGAATTCTTATTATAACAAGCCCTAAAGCCCTAATATAAACTCATACAAACTCTTTCTCAACAACTTAATATGTATTTTCGTACCACTAGACACGTTGTAACGATGTTGTCTGAGCAGTCTGAACCGAAGTGCGGCTGTGAAGAGATCGTCTTCATCATCATCGTCACGATTCATCCCAACGTAGATCTGCTGCAGCTGCTCGTCAATCTCGGCTTCAAAATGGTACCCAATCCCCAGCCGCTCCACCACGTCGATCAGGTGCAGCAGCTTCTCCGACAGTTTCTCCGACGTCGCCGGAGCTGATATCATCGCCTTCACCTCTCCCTTCAGCGCTTCTATCCCCGCGATCCACCCATTCACCGTCTGCATGCAAGCATGTATACCAAATGACCAACTTGTTTCTATCAACTTGCTATTCTTAACTGCAACAGTCAAAATCACTACTCTACGTAGAAGCGTAAAAAAGGTAAACTTTTAAGGTTTTAAATCGTAGATTTTGACTACACTTGTTATTGAAAAGCGCAATTTTACATAGAAACATTTTGATAACCTAGAAATAGAAAAAACACATACTTTTAATTTTTAAAGCACGATTTCGACGGCAACTACTGCATGCATGTTTTTGTTAGAGAGTGGTATAAGATCCAGCAGAACCTTCTCCCAACAACTCGAGTTATTGAGAGCAACTGGTTCTTGACATGGTATCAGGGCTTTCGTTTGAGGGGGCGTGTTAGAGAGTGGTATAAGATCCAGCAGAACCTTCTCCCAACAACTCGAGTTATTGGGATCAACTGGTTCTTGACAGTTTTTACCTCTTGGTCGTTGAAGGCATGGGTGAGAAAGAAGTCTCCCCACACAGTTGGGTGGAACTCTGCCGTCCGCCGCTCGTTGGCACTAGGGTTGGAGCTCTTGACGACGGCCATATCTCGATCGTTTAATTTTGTGATAGTTTGAAGTAGTTGCAGGTAAAGAATATTGTAGGCTGTGCGATACAATTCGACTTCTGCATATCGGCCATTTATATAGTGCATCACATGCATGATCTTCTCCTTAAGTGCGCCTTTCTAATCAACCATATTGATCACATGCATGTGACTTTTAATGATCGTTTGACCCGTCATAACCTACCGCTGATAACTGCTGGGGGTGCCTCAGTAGTGGTCAAATGAACTGCGTATATATTGACTCGGTCCTCTACATAGAAGTATTTGCCACAGAAACAAGCTGAGTGGGTTGTTTAATTAGTTTAAGTGATCTTTAGCAGCCGTGATTATCTTGGCTTGTTTTAGCCGCCTAAGAGATAGCTAGGAACATAATGATATATATATTAGTCAAGCCAGCAGATGTGACTTTTGTCGCAGATCTAGCGGGAACATTGCATTTTCCCCAAGGAATGCATCAGTACGGCCACTTAGTATTTTTTTTCTTCTTTCTTTTATGTAATCACTTTAAACCCATGACAAAGAGACCCATGACCAGGGGCGGATACACCCTAAAATTTGGGGAAACGATTATTCAACCTCCGGTAGTAGTTTTGTGTGGGTATACAAAATATAATTGGTAATCCGGGACACCCTAACATTTGAAAAAATGATTATCCTACCCTCGATAATAGTTTGCTTATGATTAATAAAATATAAGTGGTAGTCCGTGTTATTCCAACCTAGGACACTACTATTATCAAACATATTCTAATTATGTCGCTACTCATTTGTTATTCTATTTTAAACATCATGCATCAGTAAAACACTATTTCTTTATCCCCAAATATTTTCAATGCCTAATAATTAAACTACGTACACGCTACCCTTAATTATGAATTGATTTTATGGTTACACGGCAAGTGTTGAAAGAGTTTTTTCTACTTTGAGCTACATTAAGAACAAGGTTAGAAATCAAATATGTGATAAGTTCGTGAAGTATTATCTAATAGGATATGTAGATTTTTTTTAACAGTGCAGACACGGAGTTTATTTATATTTTTTTTTCAAAATATGAATTTTAATTTATTATTTAATAAAATACAAATTATACAAGTATGATATTTTTAATATACGAATTATTTAATTTATTATATAATTAAATTTAATTTTTGAAGAGGACACCCCTATGAAAATTTTCTGAATCCGCCACTGCCCATGACAAAGAGTTGACGATTAGTAGATTGATCTAGAACTTGATACACAAAATAGGTGAAGAGGGTAATTAAGAGAGTGGTTTAATATTCATAATCGTACTTATTTATATAACTTGAGTTATTGAAACTAGTTAAATGGTTTATGATATGGTATCAGAACTTGATTTGGCCAAGAGGTCGTGTCGTGAGTTTGAATCTCCATAACCGTAATAATAGCATTTAATTTAGAGTAAATACGAATTATTAGCCAAACCTTTCTCGCATTCATTTTTATTAGGCAAAGTTATTTAATTAACCAAATCTTTTGTAAAGCGGCAGAATATTAGCCACTTTTACGTTATCGTTAATAATTTTGTTACTCTTTTCTTAGTTAAAATACTAAAATTTTGAAATGTTGACCTCCATATGTCTCTTCCAAGTAATTACCATTTTTCCAAGTCGATATTACTAACAAAATTGCTAACTGAAAGTTAATATTTGACTAATTATTAATAATTCAATAGGTTTGGCTAATAAAAAGAATGCGAGAAAGGTTTGCCTAATAATTAGTGTTTGCCCTTTAATTTAAGTAAAAAAATATGGCGAACTTGAATAAACTTTCAAACTCGTTTAACTTTCGTTTGAAGGGACATAAAAATACTGATATAAGATATATAGTTAACCATTTTCAAATAACTCGAGTGGTTAATAAATGATTGTTTTTCTATCCACTAAAATCTTTATATAATATGATCCATTTATCAGATCTAATACATCGAGCACTTCTACTATGTTATATAATATTGGTGCTTTAATGTACAACTTGAAGTTGTACAATAACATTAAATGTATAAGTTTAGGTTGTACCATAAAGGAATTTGTATCATTATGTTATGGTACAACTTTACAACTTGAAGTTGTACCATCACATAAGGTACAAGTTTAAGTTGTACATAAAAGAATTTGTACAAAAAGTATAGGTATAATCTGAAGTTGTACCATTATCTCTTTAAAAGAACAAACTACATGTTACTGTTTCTTAGAGTCACATCCCAATTAATGGCCTTAATAGTGTTTACATGGTTTTTGTTTCAAATTATTGCCTCTTCTTTCTCTGTTCTCTCTTTCGTCTCTGGTTTTTCCTGGGTTCCTTCGCCAGCGACGGTTCTTCTCTCTTCCATTGGTGCACTCTCCGAGATCTTTGCCTGCTCAAGTCACTTCCCTCTGACAACAAAGACTTTTCTTCCCCAACTCTCTCTTTTTTGCTTTTTTATCCCACCTTTCCTTATCCTTCCCCTCTCTCTCACATATCCGCTTCCCATCTACCCACTCTCCTCTCTATCTGTTGAAAAAGAAAACAAAATTAGTCTCAAAGAAGACTCTTCAAAGGAGGAGGAAGGAAGATCCGATCAGGAAGACGACATAGAATGAAGGAACTAGTCGGCGTGGCGGAGAGTGAGTAAGAAAAGGTAGTATTCGCGTCATGCTCGGTCAAACCAGAAGCACCGGAGGGGAAGGGAAGTTAGGTCTCCGGCCTGAGCTTCGTTGGCGATTGTCATGCCTTGCCCTAGCGATGGACGTCAAAGGTTTGTTTCTCTTTTCGTTGTTGGTGTGTCTGGAATTTTACAAATTTCCTGCTAATCTTCTTTTCGTTTTGGGTTTTCGAGTTCAGAGAAGTGGGAGAACAAAGGAAGAGCTGTTGCCGGTAGAGAATTCGGAAAGCAGCAGAGACGAGGGAGGCGAACCACTGCTCTCTGACCTCTTGGTCAGTTCCTTCTGTTTTGGTAATGTTTATATTCCGAGGTTTGCTTTTCTTTCATCTGGTTCTGTGAAGTTTAGATTCTCAGTTTTATTTCAGCCAAGGGAAGAGGAAGAAGAAGTCGTCCTCGACAGTCCCGGCTAAATGGTGCATTTGGGGTCTTCTCCGCCTCATCCAGTTCGCCTTTTCCTCCGACCCATCATTGCGATCTCCAGATTTCTCACTATCTTCTCCGAATCATTTATGTTGTGTTGTATTTGTTGGTGTGATTTATTAGCTCTATTTGGCGGCGGGTCTATGCAGAATTCAGCCGAGAGGCAAGATAAGGGAGGGATTATTGCCTGTGTATGTTTCTAAAGCCAGGAAAGGTTACTGGAGCTGCCCGCTACTCTCTAGTAAGCTTATTCTTTTTGGATTTTGCATTTATTTTCACATTTGGGGTCTGTTGGAAATAAAATTAATTATTTCCTTTGATAATTTTTGTGGGCACGTTTATTGGGAGAGTGGAAGGTTTGGGTTTATTATTTGGACAAGGGAAAGGAATGGAATTTTTGTAGGGAGAGAGAAGGCGGCAGTGGAAGTTTGAGAAGTGAGCTCTTTCATTTATTGGCTTCTTTCTTTTCTTTTGCTCTGCTACTTCACCAACGTACAAGCTTAGCCTATTTATAGGCATTAAACCAACAAATATCAAGGCTAACAGACCCAAAGATGTGGTCTGCCTTTTTTCTTTGTTTTTATAACCTTCAACTAACATCTAACCCAATTTATTTCTTCTTCTACACAATTATGCAAACAAGCCACTTTCTCCATAACTCTAGGACATTCTGATATTTTTCTTAGATAATTTTGATTTAACTTTATTTTTTTTCAACACTCCCCCTTAAAGTTTAATTAGTCGTAACTCCGAGTAGCGTCCTCATTCTGACGAACACATCTTGCTTCAGTGGTTTCGTGAAAATATCTGCAATCTGGTCTTCAGTCTTCACATACTTCAACGCCACTTCTTTCTGCTCCACGCATTCTCTCAAGAAATGATACCTTGTATCAATGTGCTTACTGCGATCATGAAACACCAGGTTCTTTGCTAACGCAGGGTAGACTTATTATCAACATAAATCTCAGTTGATTCTTCCTGTGTTATGTTCAACTCCTTCAACAACTTTCTCAGCCATATTGCATGACACTCACACGATGTCGCAGCAACATACTCAGCTTCACAAGTAGATAGTGTTACGATAGCTTGCTTCTTTGAACTCCATGTGAAAGCTGTATCTCCCGTAAAAAACACAAATCCTGTAGTGCTTTTGCGATCATTTACGTCTCCTGCCCAATCACTATCGCAGTATCCAACCAATTTGAAATTTTCTGACTTAGTATAACACAGACCATGATCGATTGTACTTTTTATGTAGCGCAATATCTTCTTGGCAGCATTCCAGTGTGACATTGTTGGTGCCTCCATGTATCTGCTGACTAATCCAACTGCGTAGAGAATATCTGGTCTGGTACAAGTAAGGTATCTCAGACTTCCCACTAGGATTCTAAACTGCGTTGAGTTGGCCTTCTCTCCTTTGTCATCCTTGGATAATTTCAGTCCACACTCTGCTGGTGTGCTCACAGGATTACTGTTCTCCATCTTAAACTTCTTCGGGACTTCTTTGGAAAAACCACTCTGTGAGATGAAAATTCCTTCCTCCTTTTGACTTACTTCAATTCCAAGATAGTACGAAATTAGTCCGATGTCTGTCATCTCGAACTCACGAACCATCGTCTTCTTGAACTCTTCAAACATCTTAGGATCGTTGCCTGTGAAGACGAGATCGTCTACATATAGACAAACCATCAATATTGCTCCCCCTTGCACCTTACAGTATAGTGCATGCTCATGCAGACATTTATTGAACTCGTTTTGCTGAAAATACTTGTCAATCCTGCTATTCCAAGCTCTCGGTGCTTGTTTAAGACCATACAGTGCTTTCTTCAGCTTTAGCACCTTATCTTCTTGACCTTCAACGATATATCCAGGTGGTTGCTCCACATAGATATCT